TACGTCTCCGCTCCCCACTCCCGGGGAGAAATCCACTAACACAATCCGGTTTGGAAGCCGGAACTTCTTCTACACACTCGGTTTTCTAGCTAACCGAAAACTCTACAACTCACACTCTTGCAATCACACTCTACACCCACTAAGTGTTGGACCTAGCCGTGTCTCCCTCAAGTGCTCGGTTACAACCTCTCCCTAGGCACGTCAACCGACGCCACTCCTCTTGGGACGATCCCCGACTCTCACCACACACTCCTCACTCGGTGTACAAGTGTATTACAAAGTGATTTCACAATTAAGCACAATATAGCAAATGATTGTTCTCTCTAACAAGGTGAGAACTCAATTAGGCTCAACTCAATGTCACACTATCCCACAACCCAATTATATAATGTATGCAAATACAATAAGCTCAATGGTTGTGTGTGCAAACAAAGAGTAAATCAAATCAAACTAAACTCAATATAAAACTAGCTTTAATAGAAATGATAATCAACAAATAATTATAAATAAAAGCTAGACTTGAGTTTAGGAAAACTTCTCTAGATCAAGATGGAGAGATGGAGATATGAAGCCCAAACAAGAAGATGATCTCCTCCACTTGTGAAAATAATCTTCAAACCAAACAAACACTAAAACTCACTTAAACCCTTGTTTAAAACTCTTTAAACTTGTTTAAAACATTTCTTGAGTTACCTTAGAGGTATGAGGGCATGGGGTATATATAGGCTCATGAAACAACCCCAAAAACCAATAAAAACACCCCCAAAACATTAAAATAAACAAAAAACAGAACTAGCTGTTACTGTAGCAACGGTCGGATGCTACAGTACTTCGGTCGACCGGTACGGTCGACCGAGAGCCATCTGCAAAGCTGAGAAACGTCCAGAGACATTTCCGGTCGACCGGAGTTACTGTAGCAGTGCGCAGATGTTTTGTAAAATCAATTTAAAATAGTAAATGAACTCCAAAAATTATGAAATTTTGTGGGAATGTTCTAGACATGTAGAATAACATGTCAGAGAAAGAATTTCTGAAAAATATTTTCCCAGTTGAGAGAAATAAATATTTGAACACAAATTTACAGTTTCTGAAAAACTGTTAACATATACGATTTTGTAAAATCAATTAGGCACAGTAAATCAACTCCAAAAATAGTAAAATTTTGAGGGAAGTTTCTAAACATGTAGATAAACATGTCAGAGAAAGAATTTTTCAAATATCACTTTCCTTGAGAGAAATAAATGTTTGAACATAGATTTACAGTTTTTGAAAAACTGCTGACATATACGATTTTGTAAAATCAATTAGGCACAGTAAATCAACTCCAAAAATAGTAAAATTTTGAGGGAAGTTTCTAAACATGTAGATAAACATGTCAGAGAAAGAATTTTTCAAATATCACTTTCCATTTGCAAAAACTCATCTGTTTTGTAAAATATGCACGAACATGTGCACGAATGAAAACATGATTTTGTAAATTCCATTAAACATAACAAATCAATTCTAAACTTGATGAAACTTTGCGAAATGTTTGTAAACATGAAAACAAACATGTTAGAAAAAGAATTTCTCAAATTGAATTTCCATTTGTGAAAACTCATGTATTTTGCAAGTGTGTCCAAAGCATGAAACTCAAAACCAAGCATGTATATATATAACTATATATATACATAGAAACCAACTACGTGTGTGTATATGATATTGAGCTTAAGGTACTTAACACACATAATATAAAATCTAAACTAGATTACCCAAGCTTGATCTTGATCTTCATTGTAGCTCAACTTGGTACCCATGCGGATGAAGCTTGAACTTGATCTTTAACTTTGAATTGCAAGGCTTCAACCCGACATTCCGCCAACCTCCATTTGATATCGTCGTTGAAGCGCTATTCCATCCATCCTCCAACAACGTTGTTTGTCTACAATAAATACGAAAACACAAATACTAGACAATCAACATTAGTGGTAAATTGTTTGTTAAACATCATCAAAACAAGAAGGCCAACATGCTCCACTAGACTGTGATCTCCTACTACAGTTTAGACTCTTTCCTCTTATGACCAATGCTCCCGCTACTGTATCAATCGAAGTCTTCTTATCCTTCTTCTAAAGCTGATAATTCACAAGTGCAGTGGTGACCTCACTATACGAAAAGAGATGCTTTCTCATTAATAAGAGTAAGAACGAATGTCTCATATTCCTCGTCTGGCAAGAAACTCAACAATAACAATACCTTATCCTCATCTTCAATCATAACATTTATATTCTCCAAATCCACAAGAAGCTTCATGTAGTTATTCATGTGATCACCAATGAAGATTCCCTTCTTCAATTGGAAGCGATAAAACCTCCTCTTCAAATGCAAACGATTTTCCACACTCTTCGTCAAATACTTTCCCTCTAGGATCTCCTAAATCTTCTTTGCCAAAGTCTTATTGATCACATCATATTTCAAATCTTGTGTTAAATAAGACCTAATCACACCATACATTTCAATTCATCTTCTTCCAAACCTTCTCCTCAATGTCGTCTGGTTTCCCATCCAACACCAAAGTGTCCTCCAAATTTTGCGTGTTGAGCGCATCCAAGACTTCACATCTCCAAAGATCAAAATGATTAGTGCTATTAAACTTCTCCACGTCTATCTTCATAGAGTGAATATTTAAATTTTGGACGGTCTTTACACCAGAAGTACCATCCATAACTCCTTCTTTCTCGTCCATCTTCCTCGAAGCACTAGAAAACCAATGAAGAATAACTGAAGAATAGATCCAAACTAAAAAAGAGAGATTTTTATACCTCCAAGTGAAACCCTAATAAGAGCCTCTGAAAGATATCAACCCCACACGATGAAAACGAGATCCACAATAGTAAACATCCCACCTTTATCACCAACTGAAGCCCTAGATAAGCTTTCAAAGCGATCTACTCCTCCATCTAGACCAAGCATAGCCAAAGCTCTGATACCACTTGTTGTACACGTACGACGGACAAACCGATGGGGGTGCCGAGAACAAATACCAATGTCGAGAGAGAAAGCAAAACAATCCAAAATAACGACACAAACACAAACACAAACAAATGAATTTTATGTTGTTTAGTAAGTTGCCTACATCAACGGGGGCAAGAAGGGGATGTGTTTTCACTAATAGAGAAGGAGGAAGAAGGGGGTAAATGGAGAAAATATATTTAGGGGAAATTTTATAGTAGGCCCCTGAAACAATTAAGTTCTGGTAAGGAATCCTTTGAGTGAAAGGTATGGATATTTTTTCTAGTGAATTAACCTTTGTCTTGAATTGATATTAATTTTATATCTTTACACTATGGAAGCTGGTCGATAGCAGGGGGGTCATATTTTAAGAAACTCGAACAATATAAGATGAGTTCATTTCTCACTAGTATTTTATAATATGAAATTGCATGAGTGTTATATTTAATTTATCTTATGATCAAAAAAATAAATAATATATCATTTTTATGTATATAAAGTTAAAGGTAATTTGATATACTTTTGTTGTGGCCTAAGCCATAATACGATGTTGATTTTATACAAGATATGAAAAATTAATTTGATTTTATATGAACTATGAAAAGTGAATTTGGTTCTCATGCGATTTCAAATATGTGGTTGTGTGTTTGGCATGGCAAAAGACAAAAGTTGAAACATTAGAGACAAATTGTAGATTGATTTTAAATTAGATATACCAATGTGAGAAGAAAGAAAATCACCATAGACCTCATCATTAACGTCCTGATAAAACCTTTGAGAAAGAATAATACTATCTAGATAATACTCGACTGGATACTAAGCTAATATACTTTTTTCCTTTCCCATATAAAATTTTCTTTGGAAAGGTTGACCAAGGTTTTTTACATTCACAAGATGTTAAGATTTCATGGCATACTTGTGTCAATAGTAGCAATTTAGGAGTTCAAGTTCTTACAAAATATTAGAAGAGTATTCACAGAAATTTGAAGAATGGATTTAATTTTAGCACAATTTATCATCCATATACATATGATAAAAGACAAGCAAATTTTGAAAGATATGTTATGGTACTGTGTATTTGAAATGGAAGAATTAGGGGAAGACTATCTACCTTTACTGAGTTTGTATAAAATAACAAGAATGAAGTCAAGCATAAAGATAACACCTAGTGGCCTCTTATGTAGTAAAAAATAGAGACCACTTATTTATCTAGATTTTGACGACGAGAGAAGCTCCTTGGAGTGGAGTCAATGTGCCAACCTTTATGGTTTTGCTAGACTAAGAATCACGCTTAACAGAGTTAGACTTGTTGTAGAAGAAGAGAGCTAGGATTTCAACGAGATATTAGGTACAGGACATATAAAAAAAATCCTAAAATATCAAAATAAATTGATCAAGCACTGGACAAGTTAGCAATACAATCACCTTTAATTGGAGTATGTTATATAATCGATATATCAATTCTAAAAGAATTATATGAGATTATGTTGAAAAAATATTACTAGTGAAGCCCAAGCCACACTTAACGTATGAAGAAACACCAGAGTGTGTTGTGAATCATAAATAGCAAGTACTTCGGTGTTGAATCATCAAATATGAGAAAGTTCAATAGAGAACTACTCTGAGAGAGGTGCTACCTGAAGAACGAGAGATCCTGTTTAAAAGAAATATTTGGAAGGCTTTGAAAATATACGCGTGTTAAGTTTCATGGACGAAACTTTTTATTAGGAGGGGAGAGTGTAGTGACCTACAAACAATATATTCAAGAAAATACATCATCTTCTCGAAACTAACTAGGTACAAATAGAATTTGATGGCGGTTGTTGTGCAAATGTACACAAGCAATGTTGTCAAACTCTCATTTACTATGAATTATGCTGGTAGCTAATTATTGGAAATTGAAGGAGGCAAGAGAGGACGTGTCGTTTAATGTTACTACTTATGGAAATATTCAAAAGGAAGATATGAAACAAAAAGCTTCATTTTCTATTCTTAGTCCCCTTAATTTATTTTCCTGTTGTAAACGTTAAGTTGATTAGAGAATCAAAGGTGAATGAGAAAATGAAGAAGAAGGAAGAAGAAGACTATACGCCATGATATTTTCAAGCTAATGAGGTATATTTCTACTTTCTCCTTGACCCAACAAAATCACTAGAAAATTAAAGTAGTTGAGATGATAATGGGAAAATTTGGTTTTGATTGTGTGATGGGAATCAAATTTCTGAGTGTATTGTTGAGTTTATGAAATGAGAAATTCATAAAGAGAAAAGAAGAGGAACAAAGTTTCCGGCGAGGTCTCGCCGCCGACTGTTCACCACCGAAGGGGATCCTCCATTGCTGGCAAACGCCCATGACTAGAGTGTGGTTGTTGGTAATGGCCAGCAAGGAAAAAAATAAGAAGAGAACGAAGGAGGAAGAAGGGGGGTAAATGGAGAAAATATATTTAGGGTAAATTTTATAGTAGGCCCATGAAACAATTAAGTTCTGGTAAAGAATCCTTTGAGTGAAAGGTGTGGATATTTTTTCTAGTGAATTAAGCTTTGTCTTGAATTAATAGTAATTTTATATCTTTACATTATAGGAGCTGGTCGATAGCAGGGGGGTCATATTTTGAGAAACTAAAACAATATAAGGTGAGTTCATTTCTCATTAGTATTTTATAATATGAAATTGCATGAGTGTTATATTTGATTTATCTTGTGATAACATAAATAAATAATATATCATTTTCATGTATATAAAATTAAAGGTAATTTGATCTACTTTCGTTGTGGCCTAAGCCATAATATGATGTTGATTTCGTACAAGATATGAAAAATCAATTTGATTTAATATGAACTATGAAAAGTGAATTTGGTTCTCATGTGATTTCAAATAATTGTGGGAATTATTTTATTTGAAAGCTTTTGAAGAAAAGATATATTTTGAACATGTTTCGACCGTTTAATGGATTCAAAGATTTTATGTGACTTAATATCTGATAAAAATAAAAAAATAAAATTCATAAACTGTTTTAACAGGGATGATGAGTTTACCCTCGTTCACTTCATTTGAAAATATTTGTAATTCTGATAAACAAGGTATTTCTGATTTGGTAAGTGATTCTCGATGTTTTTAAATCCTCAGAAAGTCCACTATGGAATGTTCTGCCTGCCATATGGTGAATACACCTTTATTTGGCCCTTTTGTATTTGACCCTTCTGTAATTGGCCCTTCTGAAATTTGTTCTGGCCTCTTTGTATTTGGCCAGTAACCTATGACAGTGATAGGTGCATTCGATTCCCTGAGAATTATTTGTTATGTAATGCGTTTTACGCATTCCCATGTTACTCGGCTATAATTTGTAGCCTTAGTGTGACCTATGAGGTGATTTTCACATTTATGAATGACTCATCGAGATTTAAGATTCTAACAATTGACTGTGAAATAGAGAAAATAACAAACTTTTAGTTCTTGCACAAATTTAATAGTTCATTTCTTTCTTAGTATTTACCTTGTTTTAAAAAGGGGTTTGATTTTGAAATATATTACAATGTATTTAGTTTGCAAATGAGAAAAAAATATAAACTGTTACATTCTTCCATAAAAATATCAATAGTATGTTGTTTGAATCATACTTGCAATTTTTTTTATTTCTAGTGCAAAACTTATAATTTGTTATTTCTGAGAGTTATTCTTATTATTTTGTTAGTTATCTAGGAACTCTAGTGGGAAATGTTCTCACTTAGCCCTAGCTCATCCCGTTGTTTTTAAAATTTTCAGATCTGACGTAGCTACATAATAGCTGAACTTTTGGTTATGGCGCTTTGCTGAGAGGCGTTATATGGAGAGCCTCCTTTTTGATGTTACATACAATCAACAATGTGCTTTATTTAGTAGAATGCTTATAATGGTGAGCTTGTGGGTTGTAAGTACCGATTAGATACATATATATAGTTACTTTGAACTTCTATCATCAGCAGGTTTATAAATGATTTGAGATAAACTATGTAATATGAAGTGCCAGGCTTGACTCGTGCATGAGACTTGTCTTGTGCATGGGTCGTTGCTATCATGTAACCTGTATTTATGAATTTCTGCTGCAGTTTCGGTGCGTGACAGGTTTGGTCATGATTAGTTCAGAGTGATAAAGTTCTAATTAAATATATAACTATGGCATAAACTAATGACTGATAGGGAAGAGAGTTTCTTAGTCGAGTAAGGATACAGCAGGACATACGACGGGATGGCATCTGCTGGCTCCGAATTTACAAACATGGATTTTATGATTGGCCCAAGCCCTTGAGATTGGCCAGGCCCATTATGCTTGTTCCTCTTTCTCAATAATGTCCAACAGACATCATGGTAAATGGCTTTTATATCATTGCTAAACCTCTAATAATTTGCGGATGCACCTGTTCAACTTTAAAGGAGTGTAGGCTGCCAATCATTCTCTTTTTATTTATACTTCAAGGTTAATTACACTATTTTAATTCCACTAAGTCCTTGAATTTAAGAGTTATTTCATGTAAGCCCCTGAATATTTTTTATTCCGTTAAACCCCTATGAAATTTCTGGTATCTCACAAAACCGTAAGAAGCTTAGAGTTTTCTCGACGGACCCCTATGATGGGGTTGGTTGATGTGAAAAAAAAAATATTTTCAGAATTAAACCATCATTACTTAGTTAATATGTCTAAGTTAATCTTTAATTAAATTAATTAAATCCTAATCTAATTAGACAAATAGTGAGGGGGTGTTTGGCAATTCAAAAGTGAATTGAAAAATATGTAAGTTACTTTTTTTTGTTTGTTTGTAAGTAAAGAAACCATATTGATTTGAAAAACAAAATTATGGTTGAAAGTGCAATGTGAAGATGATGTTGCAAAAGAGAATTAATTAGTAAATATAGTTAAAATCATTAATTAAAATTGGTTACTCTTTTTTGTTATCTTCATGTGATTTCACTACTTTTTTAGGAGAAATCAAATTTGTATTAAATTTTATGTGGCAACTTTCTTACATTTCACCTTTTTAACCACTTACATGCAAATAAACACCTAAAGTGTAAAAAGCAAATTACTTTCTCACTTTTATCTTTCCTTTGCAAGTAAACAAAGACCTTCTAAGGTACGAGGGGAGGTTGGGCATGTGAAGGATTTTCTTGTAAAACATATTAAAAAGATAAAAGGGTAACTTTCTTTGAAGTTAAGGGGTATCTTCATCTTTTCTATCTCGTGTTTAGTGTTGAACACGTTAGATTTGACATTGCTGCTTTAGGGAGAATAAGTGAGAAAAATTCAGAGGTTTAGCGCCAAAAAAAAAAAAGTTTAAAGGGCTATGTGGAACAATTTCAGAGGTGTTTAGTTGAATTAAATTAGTTCAAGAGAGGTATCTTGAAAACCCTTTAAGGTTCAATGGAGTTTCTAAAATTAACTCTTTATTTTGCTTGCACATTTATCACCTTATTATTCCTATAACTTATGTGAGAATCTCATAGGAATAGGGGTAGATCTTTGTTAGAGCTTAGGGTGCAGTTGCACCCTTGAGAATTTCATAATTCCATTATAAATCATTCTTAATTTTTAATATGCTCCTAATAATTTTAAAAAAAATTCACCCCAATTTAATATCATCCTAATACTTTTTAAAAATTTACACCCAAATGGCCTAATAGTTGCTTATATAACTAATATATAATTATTAGCACATTTAGCATTTAATAGTGCATTTTTTGTTTGAGTTCAGCCCATTAGCAATACTTGTATATTTTCGTCTGTCTCTCTAGAACGTTTTTCTGGATTCACAACTGATAGGATAGCACTTAGCAAATGTCTTAATCATCTCGTGGTTCCCACATGACTTTTAAACTAATGGAGAAATATGCGATCAAGAGGGCAGGGGATGCATGCGCTAATGAAATAGATTGAAGCTATAAACACCTATTATATTGAGTGCAT